AAACCCTATAATCCCATAAACCAACTAACTTCAACTGGAGGCCAAGGCCTGCTACTGGTGATCCCATGAGCCCATAGGTGCCCATACCTGGCTTAGCAGCCTTGTTGCACCTTCATCAGTGGTTGTTGCCAACTGCTGTTACTGTCGCAATTGCGTGTCCACCCCCAGGCTCAGTCAAACCTCGGGGTGGTGTGGTTCTCCGGGTCATTGGCGCAGCCAAAGCTCAAAGCTGACATGCAGGTCTTCTCCTTCCCAACGAAGTGCTGGGAAGAGAGGTGTGCATGCGTGCGTGTGGAGGAAGATTTTGCAAGAGCCCTCGCTGAGCCCAAGCTCACACTCTGACTGGTGCTCCATGGCTCAAGGTGCCTAATGTTTCACCGGGTTTAGTGAAGTGACTGTTTGAGGTGGTTTGGCAGCTCCTTATTTCGGTTCGGGCCATTGTTCGGAAGACCCCGTTTAATTCAGTCTTGCTCTTGGGGTCCTAATCCAGGGAAGCTGCAAGTTTTGAGGCCCCAGAAAAGGAGTTCTAAAGGCTGCCCTTTTAAAATCCTTTCCCAACTAACTCAGCGCTCAGCGCTGTAGACCCAGAATCCAAAAACCAAATAAACCTGAAGCCGGCCAGTCTTTTTTGAAGCTCTTTATCCGGAACCTGAAACATCATAGAGCAAATCATTTGTGCAAAGGGGTGTATTCCAGCAGACCCTGGACCTTTCATAAATCCCATTGTTTGGAGACCTTCTTGGACCTGTCCGCCTTGGAGGGCCCACACTATCCCTTCAAAAATTCCACAGGGCCCCCAAAATGCTCAAGGTTTCGAGGAGCATTGAGGAGCCCTTGTTGAAGGCATCCTCTGAGGCCCCCATTGTTAGCGAGGGGTAGGGGGAATCCTAGAGCTTAAACAAGGTGCAGCATTACTGGGCTGAGTTTCCCACTTAATACTTGATAGGGAGCAAAGGGGCGTTGCCACTACCCTCCACAGCACAGGAGGCGGGTGTGGCTTGCCCCGCAGTTGCCCCCTTGGTACTTTGCGCATCGCGTCAATGATGAAGTCCTAATTAGTAGGCACCCCTCCTGGCTTGTGCAGTAACTTGAACTGGACCCGCTACCGAATCTCTCTTCCTTCTTCTTCTTCTTCAGGCTGAGCGCGTCCCATGTAGAGCCCAATGCCCAGGGTCTGTCCAGTTGGCACAGGAAACAAGCGGGGACAGGGATACTGCAAATATAGAGCACCGTAATTCGTAATGCAACTCGCCCACCAAAAAATACCTCCCGCCCCCCCCTCCCCCCCCGGCATAATGTTTGTTACGATCCATATCAACTTCTCGCCTTCTCAAGCTTGCTGTGAAACTACTGGGCGTTCCTGCTCTGGTGGTTTTGCGCAATGATCGGCTAATCCTCCCTGATTTCGTTACCTTTCACTGAGATATGCGAGCAAGGTGAGATCATTGACTTGTTCTCCACGACACGGCAACAGACGGCGGCCTGCACTGGAACTTGCAAAGACTCTATCATTTTCTATCGCACTTTTCTTCTCGCCTCCTCTTTTTCCTCACAGCTTCTTCGGGCTATGCCAAGGCATCCCCTCAAAAGGGGGCACCGAGGCAGCGCTTCGAGCCCAGCGCGAGCGAGTGTCCGTATCTTGCCCTGTCTCTCTTTTTTTCTATGTAGGCACCATCGCCCTTAATGAAGCTGAGAATTCTTCTTTTGATTTCGCCACGCTTCGCGATGGATGCTACAACTACATCTGCTTCAAATCTTTCAGTCCTCAAGACAACAACTTTGCACATCCAAGCTGCCGTTGCTTGGATGAGCTGATCCTGCTCAGAGGCTGCCATGGCAAAGCCGCATCAGGCAGGACTTCAAGAAGCTTTTGCTAATCTGGCGGCCACTCTTGAGGCTGAATGCTGTGGTTCTGCTCACAGCCGTGCGATCTGCGCATATGAGTTCTCGAAACTTCACAGTAAATTGGACCCGCACGGGCAGCGCTTGCCTGTGCCACTGCCGCCTGCGCACGTTCCTGCTGCTCGGCGGCCTTGAATGTAGTTCTGCAAAAGCGTCAAGGAAGACGCCCTGCACATCTGCTGCATCTGAGCTATAGACATCCACGCGTCTTCTCTCCTCCTTTGCTGAATCATGAAATATCATGAAAAGAAAGGTATCCAATCATGTTGCGAACGCCATGAGCGCTTGCATCCAGGGGTAAGCGTATAGCCGCATAAGGATCTTCCTCAGGAGCAGCTGGTGCTGCGCCTAGGGCCGCTCTCAAGCCAAGTTCTGAAAGTGCGCACCTTAGGACCTTGGCAATGCACGAGCCTACCCCTCCGTCGAAGAGAGGCTGAATCTGGAGGGTCGGTGGGAGGGAGAATTGTTCCTGCAATCAGCAAAAACATGCACAAGATTAAGCCTGTGGGCCATGCACAAGATTAAGCCTGTGGGCCTGAAGAGGCTGGTATTTGCAAGAATGATGCCTCGCTGCTTTGCATGGCATTTGGTGGCCCGGACCAGTTCCTAAGACTCGAAGACCCACCTTCCAAAATTCACGATGTGCGCGTGTAAATAGATATTTGAACCTCCTCAGCAGCTGCCTGGCCTGCAGTGACCTATCATGAGGCTGTGTATCCTTGAGGGAGCATGTAGCCTTTCCTGCTGTCCTGCTGCTGCTGAATCATTTGTGCAGCAGCCAATGCAGCCTGTTGTGCGGCCTCGGCTTCGGCCTGCAACTGCGACCAATCTTTTTGGTGATGTGATTCGCCTTATCTCGGCTAATGGCCTACGGCTTGCGGTCCTCCTTATTGCGTTTGAATCGAGGCTGTGCAAGTTCTTGTCAACTAGCTATGGCAGTTTGAAACGTCGTCCCTTGCTGGCTGCTGCTGTACACAACATGCAGTGCAATGTGCAATCAGCTGGCCTGGGCAGACATGCTTTCTGCATGTGCGCTGAGCTGAGCCTTAAGCGAGAGCGAGCACTTGAGGGCCTAGAACGTGCCACATTAATTGAAGGCTGAGTGTTAAAAAAGTCAATTTTCAATTCTGGCGGCAAGCATGACGGTATCAGCAAATGAGAATGAACTCCTGTTTTGTCTTTTCCGCCACCCTTTCTGGCACTGGGCTTGCTTGTGCCTTTGCCTTTGCTGCGTGCCCCGGTCTCGGACGACCTTGCGCACGGACATGATGCAACTCCGTGAAGAAACCTACCAAGCGTGTTGTATGGCATCTGCCTCCATCGTGGCATCTGAGATGCCGCGGCCATCTCCTTCTGGCAAAGGTCTTCTTGTTCGTGAAAGCGAGTTGTGCACGCATCAACAATGGCTTGCCACTCCTGCATGCATTCATTCTTGCATGCTTCTGCAGCTCAAAAGTTGCTGCAGTCCTGCTGGCAAAGCTTTTGCTTCGGAATTGCTGACCTGCTTGCCAACGCATCTCTGTGTTGCTGGAGCTCCGCATCACCAAGGCGACGAAGCTCTCCTTACGCACAATGATGCTGTCTTGATCGCCTGCAGCCAACACTGTCGAGACTCGGTGCATCCAAGAGGCTTAGGGCACCGATGTCTTCCTCTAGTTGAGAATCCACCAAGTCCCACCTGCTGGCAAGAGAAGCCTGATTCGGGCAGCTCCGCGTGGGTATGGGTCGCACCTAATGCCCGATGGCTTCTTGACAACCCGCTTGCAGCGGAAAAAACCCGTTGGAGTCGCAAATGCATCCACAGGCAGGTCATGAGTCTCCATCCTCAGACGTGACAACATCCATCCAACATCTACAGCAGCTGACCCAACAAGTCTTGCAGAGAGTCAAATCCTCACTGAGCAAGAGAGTATCCACCAGCTGAAGATCATGACATATACTGAACCTTTGTGGGACAGCTTTGCAATGTGAAATGCAAGGTCACTGGATCACCATGGATCACAACATGGCCCAGGCGCAGTCAGGTGGCACAGGTGTCTTTGAGGGGTCTACTGCGCCCAAGGCTGTGAGAATTCCCCACTCCACCTTTTGGCTAGCATGCAGCCATTGCACGTGAGAGGCAACTGGACATACCCAAGCGCAATACTAGAGGCTATTCGCCTCCCCGTAGCCTTTGCCTTTGCCCAACCGCAGTCCATTCATGGCCATCACACCTGCGCAATGGAAGAGGAAAGCGCGCCGCATATGAACCCAACTCGAAGACCAGTCTGCGCCAAAATAGCAATGACCGAGTGACAGGCAGCCACGACAACGACATCAACAGGTGGAATATCCTTGATTCTTGTTGAAGCAACATTTGCTGGCGATGGGCCAGCCAAATTATGGCCACAAGCTGCCACCAAGTTGCAAGCAGTTTCATGGGCTTTGCCCATTTGAGGTACTCTCGCCTGCAAGGCCATTCGCACATCTTTTTAGGCACGCATCTGAAGAAGCAGCGCAAGTGATGAAAATCCTTTTGGTTCTGCTACAGTAGGGACCGGGTGGCTTGTCTCCAGCCCACTCAAGGGATGCACGGCTGGGGAAGTAATCCCGATGAAGCTGCAAGTACAGGAAATCGGCACCAGGGTACGGGGGTACCAGGACCTTAGCTTTTCAAAAGCACTTTCTCTAATTGCTGCTTAGTATGTAACCAATGGAAGGACGGAGGCAAGAGACAGTTTTCCCAGCCATCACCAAAGCTGTCCGGAGAGCCGCAGCACCAATGGAAGGGTGTACCTTGACTACTGACGCCTCCCTCATCTCGGGCACTTCCAAAAGGTTCCGGCCTGGGTACACAAGGGAGCGGCCCGAAGCCAAACTGTTGCAGATGTTACTGCCTGTGGGGACCGGACATGCCATTGCCGAGCCGACGCAATTCGGGATTCGTCCGTGACAGGGGCGCGGGAAAAGGACAGCATCCACGCTTTCCAGCTTGTCCCAAACCTGTCTACCGAGGGGATCGGGGCAGGATGAATTCAGGATGGCGACAAGTGTTCCAAGAAGGGCAGCGACAAGCAGGCCTGCAGTCTCAACGCGGCTTTGCGACCACTCCAGTCTTCTGCTTTCATGGAAATTCATAATTTCGTGCTCCCTGGCATGATTTAAGCTGATTCTACAGCTGCTGCAGAAGGGCTACTTGTGAGTTTTGTTGTGGAGGATGGCCCTAGCCATGAACATCGCAACTAAACAAACATGTGGCTTATGCCATCTCGGGTGAGCCTGCAACGACAACTCAGGTTCTGCGATCTTATGGAACCATGGGGAAATAGCAATGTATGCGACGAGAATTGAATGTGTATTTTTCCGGCGAAATATCTATACATGCATATATATATATGTATATGTATATCTGTCTGTGTGTGTTAATCTCGACTGCAAAAGACTATTTCGCTGAGCCTGCTACGGCCATCTCAAGCACCTCATTGAGCGCCTGCCCACGTGAGATTGGGTCTCTTCATCCTCTGCTCTGGAAAACCGGCATGCCTCGATAAGCTGCAGCCGCTTCTCTAGATGCCGGGACCTTGGCAGCGGTACCGGTGCACCACCGTGCGCCGGCTTAAATATTGAATGCGCGCCGCTACCGCAAGGACAGAGGTTTTTCATGTCTAATCTTCTAGCAATGTCTTGTTTTTCTTCTTTCAGGTGGTTGTAGGAAACATGGCTACGCAGACCTGTGGTCGCAGATTGCTGCGTGCGGCGATACCTTGTCTTTTTTCTGATGTCTCTCCCATTTTCGGTGCTGAAACCATATGGGCGTCGACAGAAATGTCAGTTTTGAACGCTGGCTTCATCTGGAAGTGAGGTTTGAAAAACCGAGGAGTCATTCCGATGCTGCAGCCTACTGCCGAGCGCACCTGCTGTGCTTTTGAGACAAACGAGGTCAGATCTCTCTAGGACAGGCGCCATGCATGCGCTCAGACCGTGACAGTGCGATCGCCAGTTGAAGCTCAGCCTGCTTAGACATAAGTAACAAGTCTGCGGTAATCATACTCACGTATCGTCCTGCAAAGGCTTCACAGGACTTCAAAGCATTGAGAGTTCACGTGCGACTGAAAAACGCATGCGGCAAGCCTCCACGCAGCGTTGCTCAGCCTCCAGGCGGGCAAGCCTTTCTGCCTGCTAGGAGAACGCATTGGGCTCTCAACTCCGAACACTGCCAAAGAGATGTAAGCAGGCTGGCCTCTGACTCCAGCTCTGGCACATCTACGGCAGACGCGTCCTGGCGTCCATCACGCGCGGGCTTTGGTGAACACCCCAGAGGATCCCAACGTGGCAGCAGGGTGTATTTATTAAAAAGGTTCTGCAATGCTTGGGACATGGCAGAGGCTGAGCAGTCCGCAACAACCTAGCCCGCTTCTGCAGGATGCCACCATCTGCATCCTCTTGCTTAAAGCTTTGTGACTTTAGCCAGGTGCCGGACTATGTGACCGATTGGATTCAGCCTGAGCAAAAGCAGGTTAGGCTTGCCTGGTGCCTACTCCATCCCTGTACATCCGAGGCATGCCTAGGCAAGCAAGGAAGCTCTAGACAGACTTTGGCTGAGAAGCTGGCGCTTCTCTGGAAAGCTCAGAGTTTCGCTTTAACATCATTGCCTGCAAGGAAGTCAGTGCTCAAACATCGTTTTGCTTAAGTAGTCTTTTCTGACCGTGCCAGACGAGCAGTGTTTTTGAACGCGCCTTGAAAACTAAAAAGTCATCCACACCTTGCAAATGTGGGCAGGGAAGAATGCGTTGGATCCATGAGGAAAACAACCCTTCAATGTTTACTGCCAAAGGGCCTATTAACTGCTCCACGAGACTTCTGTGGAGCTCACTGCTGCCCTGGGTGGCAAGAGCTCAGCCCGAGCTGAACGCACCACCAGCTGGCTGAGTTCACAACGGACAGCCCGTATTCACAAAAACTTGTGAACCTGCGTTCTTGGATACAAGAAGCAAAAGGACTCGAAATCGCATCTCAGTAGTCTGCTCTTCTGTTGTGATGTGCAGCTCAGCCAGATGAGCCTCCAGACTCGAGAGGCTACGCTCAAACTCCATTCAGGCTGTGCTGAGAACAGCGCTGCTAGAAGATCTTCAACCTTTGTCAAAAAGCGCACGTGCCCATGGCAAGAACAAGCATGCATCCACTTCTGTTTCTTCCGACCCCTCCCCCCCGCCCGAAAGCCACAGCAAGCGCCAGGCTAACTGCTTAAAGGCATTGTGCACCAAAGTGTACTCCAACCTGGCATCGTCTTGCGCAACTTGCATCATGGCCACTGAGCAGTGCATGCGCTGTGCATGTGTGCAACCATGACGGCTCTGCTTATTCTCCTGCACGCACACACACACACACACCAGTAGCACAGTGTGACAGTGCAGCAAGGCACGTAATTCGCCACTTCCAGCGTGTCAGACAGCTTTCAGTCCTCCTCATCTTCGAAACAGAGGCAGTTCTGATCGACAAATTGCGAGATTGGAACCATCCATGTAGGTGACCTTGCACTTAGAAGAAATTGGAGGTGAAGTACAACCTGGACAGTATAGTGTAGTATAGTACAGCATAGTATAGGGTTGCATGATCGGACAGTCAGTGTTTCCTTTTGAGTCCAGCGAGTGCATGGAATGTGCAGGCCCCTGCGGGGAAATGCAGCACAGCCATGCAGCTCCCCCACATGGCCGTCTGGCAATCCTATCATGTAAGTGTTAATTCCACAAACAATCAAGGTTGCGCAGGCTATGCTGTCATAGCCTGAAAATGCGCGAAGCAAAGCACACATTCAACCCTTGACGATCAAGGCAGCAATGGAGGCACCGAGGTCTTCCCTCAAAGCCACGGTCTCCGTCACGAGATACCCCTCCTCGGACACAAAGCCTTGTCCATCAAGCCATGGATGCTGTGGCCTTCGCGCAGGGCGCTTGAATTTCCTTATTGCAGGTGGGGCAGAAAAGCATTCACAAAGTAACGTGGCCTGTTGGAGGGCTTGGCGCAAGTGGACAAGCTCCTCCTCACGCTTCTGTACCTGGCCATCTACTCAAAAGCAGGATCCGTGCCCTCCTGTTTCCATCGTATCTCCGCCTTTCAATATTCAGTGGCTTCCACCTAAAACAATATGTACCTAGTCTTAAATCCTTTGCACTTCCAAATTTGATTCGTTCACTAAAGTTGGACGCCCTGCGGTCCCAATACCAAAGCCACTTCAAACCTGACATCACAGCTTGCAATGGAAGGCCCCCGTCCTCCGCAGCCAACTCCAGGCACTTGTGGCGATAGAAGTCTGCATCCTGCATCATATTTACAAGCACCAGCTGCAGCAACGCCAAGCTAAGTGTTGCTGCAGCTACAGTAGAAGTTTTTGCGACTGGTGGTTGTCCAGGGCCTGCATGTCCAGCTCACGACTCTCCCCATCCTCTAAGCTGATGGCAAGCCTCACTCTAAGCAGGCAACTTTTTGCAAACTGGCAGTTGTGCCTCCGAGCAGCGTAGCACTCACGGGCTTTGTCGGGGATGAACCTGAGGAAATGAAAGCATCCTCAACCCGACGCTGAGGTCAGCACTGTTGGTATTAGCGACATGTCCATAGCAGCTTTGCAAGTGAAAGGGCTCTGGACTGCTCAAGGAGACTTCATGGAGAGACAGTTGCAACCCAAACCTGTGAGCATATGCGGCCCCAGTTTAGGCATTGTGGATGCTGAGCTGCTGGAAACTAGTGACTCAGACAGCAAGCTAAACACCCCAGCACAAACAATGCATGTCGACAATGCAGTGTCATTGCCGTTTGTTAGAACGTAAGCCAGGGATGCAGGGACCAGCTGCAGGAAGTCTAAGCTCTAGAATGTCAGGAATCAGTTCTATGAACCGACATATTTTTTGAGGTTCGACTTCCATCCGACTCAACAACATGCACGAGCTAAAATCCTGCAAGCAGCCACAAACGCCCGAAAATAAAATCTTGGAGGATGAAAAACTGAAAATGAAAGTTTAGCCTCAAGGCCTTAGATCTCATTTTGGCGTGTCCGCCCCCTATTGTCCAGAGCTCAAGAGTAAGGAGCCTCTTTGCACACAGCAGTGAGCGGCAAGGGCCTGCCTTAACGGCCTCAAATTTGTGGATGGAGACTGCCACACAGGGGACTGCAATTACAGTGTGGGGTGCTACAGTGCAGTTCTAGCGTTGTAGCTGGGGACCTGATGCTGGCTGGCATGCCACCATGCAATGCCTTGGGGTAGCACTTCTGAGTCATTCTAAGTGCCTGGCCTTGCAAGGTGTCGTTCTCCATGCTCCCATCACGTCCCCCATTCCATGAACCGCTTAACCGGGTTGGGCTCTCCAAGTTAAAGCCCGGCGACCCCGCAGCCGTGACTGGTGGAGTCGTTGTCTGCGTTGTCTGAGGCGAGACAGACATGCACAACTGCTTCTCCAGGTGGTCAAGTGCAGCCCGGGTGTCTGCCAACACTTTGTCGTGGACTTGGGTAGCTTGAGTCTGTGACCACGCGGTTACCTTCTGGTCTGATCTGTAGCTCGTCGCAGGTGGCGCGGGCAGGTCCAACGTGCCCTCTGGCAATAAGGCTGAGAGGGATGCCTGTCCCTGATCAAGTCCAGGCATGTTGAGGTCCGTCGTTTGGGCCTCCTCTTCCTGAATGACAGAGTTCTGGTACCGCCCCCACTCCTGCAATGGTTGGGCAGATGAGTTTGCAAGGCATGTCTAGGTGTATCTGCTCATAACATCTGAATCCTCTCCCATCAACGATCCAAAGTTTGGCATCCAATCTTGGGCTGCTTCTGGAGGGCAACCTTCCGGCACAAGGCCTCAGATCAAGAACCTCACTAGCCCGCTATGGAAAAATTTCGAACTCTTTTACCTGGTCTTAGTGAATTTGCTTTGAAACTACGACTCAAAATTTGTTTGGGGTCCCTGGTCCCCCCCGGCCCCGCAGCTAGTAGAACACTTGTTTCGTTCGGTGGGGTGACGCGTATCAGGACCCAACATTATGGCCGAGATCTGGGCGTTTGTTTGATGGGGACCCTCCCTTTCATTTTCATGAATCCCTCAGGTCGGTGTTCGTGATCTGGAACCGGTCTGGGATGAGTGCCGAACGGTGTATGGAAAGTCCTCTGCCGATTTGATGGAGGGCATGGAAGAAGCGCGTTGCCATCTTCCAGACCACTCACGCGCAGTTCATGCATAACCACCTGTGCGAATGGTATGATAATCCTTGACTTGCGCGGGAGGACACCTATTGGTGTTGCAAGCCCAGACCCTAACGAAGCCTGAAGGCCCAAAAGCCTAAAGCTGCAACCCATATGAACCTACAAACCTGCACTCCGAGGCATGTAAGCCTTCAACACCCCGAATCCTAAACCCGAAACTCAACACTTTACCCATAGACAAGCAGGTTCTTCAAGCCCCAGACCCAGGAGGCGCAAGCTCTGCAAGCCCCGAAGCCTAGGTGCCTAGAAGCACTTCCAGGCCCAAATCCCCAAAAGCTAAATATACACTACACTACACTTAACGTACAAACAATCTAAACCCCAAAAGCAGCAATAACCCTAAGCCTGAACCAGAGAACTGATATCATGGCACACTGGCAGCCCCGAGCTCTAATACTACATCTTCCTCCAAACAATTGTGGAGGCCGCTCCCATATGTCCCATTGGGAGGGACGTATGAACTTTTTCATGGGGAGTATAATCGAATCTGCTTGCCTTGCTGCTACTCACCTTTGGAAAGCCACCCCCACAAAACCCAAGCCGTAACCCAAAGCCTTATCTGAAAACCCCGAAAGCAAGCCAAAACCCAAACAAATCTGAAGACTGGCAACCGCTGATGTCTTTGGCGGGTGTCTAAACTGTACTGCGTGCAATTCGTTGAGGGTGTGACAGGGTGGACCTGTGGTTTCAGAAGACCTGGGCAAACCGCCCGACGTCGTCATCATCGTCGTAGCTGTGTTCGCACTATAGCCGCAGAAGCAGCAAGCAGCAGGAGTGGTAGTCGTGCTCACGGCGCAGCAGCAGCAGCAGCAGCAGCAGTAGGAGCAGTAGTAGTAGTACGAGGACAGGGACTAGGACTGGGATTAAGACCAGGGTGAGTAGTAGTGGAGCAAGTAATAGCAGCAGCGGTAGCAGGAGCAGTGGCCGCGGTGTGAATTCCGGTATGAATACTGGTTTAAAGCAGCTCGACTACGAGTCTTGGCGCCCATATTAGCGCAACCAAGTCCCTGAATGCAAATAGTGCTGCTGTAACCACTCGTCACGAGAATCAGTAGCTCCAGTGACGGTAAAGATGCTGGCACTGGTTGCGTATGCAATATTTGGAACATGCTGCCGCTTGTTTGACTTGGCTTGCCACGCGCTTTTTGTGGCGCCTAGCCTTGCTGGGCGGAGGGAGGAGGCAAGTAGCAATTGCTTTCTGCCTTCATTCCTGTCTGCCTTCATTGCTTCCTTGCTTCTTTGACTCTCGTAAGCGGCATGTTCCCTGCAACGCGTCCTTTTGCTTTTGTAATGATTCGTGTTGATTCTTGTTATTTTTGTGATTGAAGTTCATGCAATTTGAACTCAGCGTCCGTGACTTGCTCCGCAGCAACGTCTGCGTGGTGGCTGCCTGTCCTCCGAACAAATGCGGGAGAAAGTCAAATCTCAAGTTATCGTGGTGGCCTGCAGGAGGGTTTCCACAAGGCTGGCCAGAGCTTGACGCTCAGCCCGTTCCGCGGCCATATCCCGCCGCAGCTGAGCAAATTCCTCCGCCAGGCCTGGGTCAGTATGCGCAAGCGGCTCAAGCTGCCCCTTTGCAAAATCTGCTTCAGATCCGCTTCCGCCTGACTGAGCCCAAGTAGCTAAGCCCAATCGCAGAGCCTCTGGAGGTCACAGGTGCAGACGCTGCCCATATGGAATCATCACTCTTTTCTGTGTGTACCTGAGCGGTCAACAGAAATGGGCATGTAAGCCACCAACAGGACCACATTGAGAAGAAGCCATGAGATCTGAGACACAAGCAGTGAGCAATCAAGACGCCATATAATATGTACTGCAAACTATTTGCAAGTAGTCAGAGCTGTGCTATACGACTTGGGCTGGAAGTTGTTCACCATGGGGAAAACATGACATGTAACAGTACCCACTCAAAGAAAATGAACATGCCTTTTTGTTCGTTCGTCGCAGCACTCAAAGATTTTTTTCCTGAGCGCAAGCCAGGGAGACCTGAGCGGCGGCAAACACACAGAAAAGGTATTTGCAACCCTGATACTGACCTAGCGCCCCAAACACCACCCAGAGACAGGAGACCTCCCTCGCCGCGTCCATTAAGGACAGGATGTCTGATTTGCGTCCATTAGGCACGTCTGCAAAATTGCGTCCATTAAGAACGTCCACGATAATAAAAAGACCTGTCTGGAAAGTGCTTTGCACTCAGACTCAAATACATAAATGGAGCTGCTCAGAGCTGTGCGCAACTGAAACCTGGGCGCAGGATGAGTACAAAATTTTGCTGAGATGGAATTCACCCCGAGGCCTTGACAAACATGCTCCTCGAAGACAAAGGAGTAGAACGCGCTATGCACATTCTGCAAGACCTTGGCAAGACACATCACGCGAGTTACAAAAGGTAATTTGGTCTCAAGCTTGCAAATCACACCAAAAGCATTTTTTCAGGGCAGCTGTCTCAGCAGAGACCCCAGGTCCTACTCCTCTGCATAGCCTCAGGTGGGCTTCTTCCCTCGTCCAGCAGAGACCCCAGTTCCTAGTCCTCCACAGCATGCCAGACCTTCAGGTGAGCTTCTTGATACCGCTTGCCCTCGTCTGAATCCAGCCAGGCCTTCAAGTGGGACTTCATAACCGATGGAGCGGCCTTCTTCTTGCTGTCTCGCATGTTGCGCAATGAAACCGGCAAGGCTTGTATAGACCTTGGGGCTCCGTCTTGGGCAGGCAGAACAAGTAGAAACCCACTTTTCAAACTTGCAAGTATTTAAATGTCTTTCTTATTGTTTAATTTAACTTAATTTAAGACTGGAACAAGAAGAGTCAGCATAAAAAAAGCCGAGCGGCCCATCTCGGGTTACTTCATCCAATGCCTCCTTCAACTGCACCGGCAGTTCTGAAGGGATCGAATGAGACCTGCGTTCGGAGAGCATGGCCCGAATCTGTTGCGCACCCATGGCAAAGTCAAAGACCGATAACGGGCAAGCCAGCGCAACCATGTCACCCTCAGAGTGGCCCGGGAGAAAGCTGACTCGGCCAGACTCATGAAACTGGTCCACACGATCTAAGACCTGAGCGACCTGCGCAGATCTGCGCGCCAGCTTGCGAATCCGCATGTCTTTCATGGCTTTTGCCACACACGCCTTCAACATTTCGTCTCTCTCCTGGCCTAAGCACGAGACCAGCGCTTGGGCTAACAGTGCTCGGTCTACTGCCTGACTGGGCGAAAGCTGCTGCATTGTGTGAAACTGGGCATGAAGAATCGAGCCAATGCGTTCGACTGAGGCCTCAGGCATATGCAGCATTCTGTACCTGTGATATACGCGCGCCGTGTGCCAGCAGCAGGTATGCAAAAGAGACCGCGCTGGAGCATGTTCTTTGGGCCCTTTACCCACGGCAAACCAAGGATGCATAGTTAGAGACCTGCCAATGGCCCCATAATCCACCTTCATCTCGCAGGACTCGATCAGAACCAGCTTCCCTGCCGTGAGACCCTGCAGGATCCGTGCGACTGTCCCTGGACGGCCATATTGCAGGACGTCCGGCTTCGCTCTCTTTCGACAAACTCTGCGGCCAAAGACTCCACACAAGCCCAAACCTGGAGTGTTCAGTTACGAAATGTGGTTCACTCAGATTAAATGAAACCCAGCCCGTGTAGTGTAAAGGACAACCCTAAGCAACTGAATCGTGCACGGTGACCACCATCGGCGAGCAGCATCGACTTATAGGCTCTTGGCGCCAACGCTTTGCCGTCCAGCTCACCAGCAAAAGCAGAAATAAAATGCAGCAGCTTGCACTGTTGCGCATGCACGCAGCTCAGTCGACAGCGCAAAGACCACAGCGTTCCAAATATGAAGAGAGGCCTGACTGAAAACCTTTCTGCCACTTTCCAGGCTTTCGCAGATTCCACAACATCGTGCGGGGTGGGGGCACGACCCAAAAACGCATTTCTCACACGCAGAATGTACATCATGTACTGCTCGCGCAGCTGTGCCTCTGAAAGCTCCCAGGTGCGCCTCCCGAGGTCTGCTAAAAAACAAACAAGACAAACATTCAGAACCTTCATTTATTTATCTATTTACCATGTAGAGCACTTGGCCTTTAGCCTAACCTTGTAATTATGCTTCTGCAGAAGGCCCTGGATAAGCGCAAACAAAATCAGTCCTGCCTCACGCCCGCAAATGGAAAGACCTCGTTTTCTGGCCATCTGCTGTTCTGCAAGACCGGGCGCATCATCTTGACAAAGTCCAGGAAGCTTTTCATGTTGTCAGTCAGGTCGCCAGACCGTTGCTGCAATATTGCAGCCCAATCAAAGGCCCGAGACCCAAGATCCCGGATTTTCTGCATGTCCTCGTTCACCCCAACATGCGAGACTATTCCTGAAAGCTCTTCCAGAAATGCATCCACAGCATCTGCTGCGCCGTCCAGGGCTCCAAGAATGTCCTGGCTGCATTGCAGGCTTGAAAATGTAGTACTTACTATTGTTCATTTGCAGGGCACCCCACATGACCATGCCATACATTCCATGACATCGTCGCATGCTCCCGCGAGGACGACTTGGCATGTATGACGTGGTCATGTGGGGTGCCTTGCTAATGAGATTGGCCATGACCAGCACAGCAGTCCTTGTAGACAGCATAGACCAGCTCAGGGATTTGGCAGCGAGACCCATTCAAGGGTGAGATGTGGGGCCGCATGGCCAATTCTCCCAAGACCACACGCTCGCTGTTCCGATGTTTTTGCATGCGCGGCATGTCAGCGCGATTCTCGATCGAGCCGGCCAAGGTCCAGAGCGGCATTCTGACTTTTCTGCACCGGCCTCTCCGCCCAGGTCCAGTGAAGAAATCGATTCGCGCTTGGTTCGGCAGGTAAGGACCATATCGACCATTGCGTGCTACTTTTGCACGATTTAAGTGGATGCATTGGCAGTGAGGCCCCAACACCGTGCACTTGTCATCCTCGGCCACCTGCGCTGTAGTCTGCAAGGCCACGTTCCTCATCTTTGGAGGCAGCATGTGGACGATTTGCATAATTGTTGGAAGTAGATGGTAGATCTCGCGAGGCCTGTGTGTAGCAGAAAGCACCCAGCAGTCGAGCCACCTCGCCTGGAGTGGCGTGCTGCCTGAGCAGTGTGCCCACCAACAAAAACTGACGGATCTTCGTCAGAGACCTTTTGCAAGACCGCAGTTTGTCCATCGTTTGAGAGGTCGCCTTCTGTAGTTCCTGCGGTTCGGCTGCTCGTTGCACAATCAGCGAGAAAGGGACGAAGACGGCAGGGAAGAACCCCTCAAAAGATGCCGCGAAAGTCACAAACGAAACGTTCGTCAATCTTCGGCCCAAGTCCATCAACGCACGTAGACCACGAGACCCATGTCCCAGCTGCTTCCAGGCCTGAGTAGCAGCATTGCAGCAAGGCTATAATAATGATAATCTTACTGAATTAAAGATATCATTATTTTGTTGATGTATTCTTGTCATGATTGAAGCTGCAGCTGCAGCTACCAAATCCTCAGACTGTCAGAGGGGCTTTGCAAGTTTCTGGAATTAAACCTGTTAAAGTTAAATTAAATCGAGCCCCGAAAATTTCGAAAACTAACGCAGCTTGGTCGCCAGCCGGCAGTGAACAGCTGCGACGATTGCCGCAAAGTTCTTCATGAGCTTCATGTTGAAGTAAACAAACATCCTTGTACCTCCTGGTGCGTTCAAGCTCGGCGTCGCCAGACCAAGGTGCAAGGCTGCGCCCCGCAAGATCATCTTTCCTTCGCCCACGCAGAGAACCTTGTCCAACACCGAGACCACATCCATCAGCTCAGCCGACGCAGAGACCCGCTTGATTGCCTGCTCAAATGCAGTGCTTTCACGGTGCATGAGGCCCCAGTCTGTCATCATCGGAGCTGCAAAGCAAGCAGAGTCTGGACAGATGGCCTCCCATATGGCCTCTGCAGTCTTCGTCGAGCTGTGCCGAGACAGGACACCTCCCGAAGCAATCTGGCCATCACCGCAGACCAATGCGCAGGACTCCCTCAAACGGGCCATATCCAGGGAGGCCGCATGGTCTTCCAAAACCGCCAAAGTGCTTTGGGTGAGGCCAGATTTGTCGTGATCACCAATGCCCAGAGACCTCGCTCCAAGCAAAGGGCAGTAGAGCTGACCAGTTTTCGCAGAAGCGATCTGCAGGTTCACCAACAAGACCGTTTCCCGGCGAGCGAAAAAAGCTCGCCCCAGCCCCATCGGGTCCAGTGCCCTAAGCTTCCGAGAAGCCACTTTTTAGAAGCCAAAATTTTGGAAGCTAAATTTTTTGGCTGGCAGCTTGTTTTTTTAGCTTCTAGGTTAAAACAGCAAAACAAGCTTCCAGGAAAAAAAAAGGGCTTTGAAAGCCAAAAAATTTAGCTTCTAGAAGCCAAAATGTTTGGCTTCTAAATGGCTTCTAGAA